AAATTCCCTCAAACACTCGGCGATCTAATGACCGCAAAGCTCGCGCGACTGTCGACTCGCGTGGACTGGGAGTTAATCCCTCTAAAACGGAACTTGTGTTGTTTACAACCAAATACAAAATCCCGTCCCTCAACCCCCCAATACTAAACGGATGCAGGCTCTCCTTCAGCGACAGTGCCAGTTACTTAGGGTTGGTAATCGACAAAAAGCTTAGCTGGAACCTGAGCATCAAAGACAGAGTGAAGAAGGCTACGATAGCCCTCTACACTTGCACGAAGGCCGTTGGGCTAAATTGGGGCATGAACCCAAGAATAGTCCAATGGATTTACCTAGCAATAGTAAGACCAATACTGCTCTACGGAGTCGCAGTGTGGTGGCCTGCCCTATCGAAGGGGACCATCACTAAACAACTGGGCAAGGTGCAGCGAACTGCAGCCCTATGCATCAGTGGAGCTCTGAGCACAACACCAACGGATGCGCTAAATGCTATCCTATGCCTGCAGAGCCTTGACCTTGCAGGTAAGGAGCAGGCAGAAATGGCAGCAATCCGTCTTAGAGACTCTGACCAATGGGTGTCACATCACACCGGTCATGAGTCCATCCTAAATGGAAACAAAATCGTCCCCACAAAAACGGACTACTGCGTTCCGAGGGAGTATACAGATACCCCCTTCGAAACAATCATCCCTCACAGAAACAACTGGCTTGAGGGACCACCTGGTCCAAAGGAAGCCATTCGAATCTTTACTGATGGCTCAAAGCTGGACTACAAGGTCGGAGGAGGAATCTACTCCGAACAGCTGAACATAAGACACTCCTTCAGGCTCCCGGATCACTGCAGTGTCTTCCAAGCGGAAGTCATAGCGATCAAGAAAGCTTTGAGCTGTCTTCAGGAACTAGCCCCTGCGGCAACTCATATAAATATCTATAGTGATAGCCAAGCTGCGATCAAATCGCTGAATGCGATAACAACAAGCTCGGCTACCGTGGCAAACTGTCGCAAATCTCTTCATGAGATGGCTTATCAGTTCGTCATCTGCCTAATATGGGTCCCGGGCCACCAGGACATTGAAGGCAACTGCATAGCAGACGAGCTGGCCAGAGCTGGTACAACAATCCCCCTTCTTCATGATAAGGAGGATATTCGTATGCCAATGGCCACCTGCAAGCTCAAAATAAAAGAACATTTTAAGCGATTAATAAATGATAGATGGCAAACTGTGCCACTATGTCGCATAACTCGGAAAACATGGCCTAACATTATTAGGAAGCGCACCGATGAGCTTTGCAAACTCAGTAGGAGTAGGTGCAGCTCAGTCATACGCTCCCTTACGGGACACTGGCTAATAGGCACACATGCAAACAGGCTGGGCGCCCCATATAACGACTTCTGTCGAAGCTGTAGAGATGAGGACGAGGAGGAGACTGTGGAACACCTGTTCTTCTCCTGTCCGGCTCTCAGTAGAAGGAGACTTCAATACTTTGGCGCTCCTTTTCTAATTGACATTTCGGACATGTCTACAATAAGTCCCAGACGGATCGCAGGCTTCATAAGGGCATCCGGATGGGATAATGGATAACATAGGGTCTCACGAGGGAAAAGGGAACGATATATGCGGTATCACAATGGGCCGAAACCGGCCTAGGTGTGTCGGGTCTCTGACAATCCCGACAGCCGCCTCAACCTAACCTAACCTAAGCTTTCAAATTCAAATTTCATAATTTTTGAGGTATTTTTCCCCGAAATTTTGACTTTAAAAACTCAGGAAAAGTCGAAAAAAAATATTTCTTGGCATGCATCTATGGAAAAACGGTGGAGCTATATTTCGTTAACCAAACCTAAAAAAATGAAAAAATAGACAAAAAATAGTTTTTGGAAGGTTGCGGGCCCAACTGCCGTGTTTCCCAATCCCAAAGCAAATGAAAAGGTGTTGAATTTTTGGTACCTGTACGTGTTAAATACCATTAAATGTTATTTTTTCGTTGTGCCCAATCTGAGGTATGGATACCTGTTCAGGTCAAATGTATAACTTTTTTTTTCACAAGTGCAGGTCCACACAAATAAGACATTTGTCGCTTCTACGTATTCATATTTCAATAAAACCAAAGTAGAAATACCTGAGATATAGAATATCAGTCCCTAACACATACAACAATCAGTAATTTTTAGTCCTTTCAGTATAATTTAAGGATATACAACTTTTTTATTTGGTTTTATCTTGCTACAAGTTTTTAAACGTATGTGATCAATTTTTTTTTCTACTGCTTGTTACTGTTCTTCTTAACTTTTAATTGTGTGTAAAGTCTCTCTCCGTGTTCATCACAAGCGTCCCCTAGGTTTGTCAAGAAAAGTCTAAGTGGGAGTGCAGGAAATGGATTTTTAGTAGCGTTGGGTCGTTATAAACGAAACAAAACAAAAAGAGAACTATTCACTGAAATGAACGAACTATCTTAATCGTTATTTTTCGTTCGTTATTTTTTGTTCATCGTTCTGTTTTGTTTGTTCGTTTTCCTCGCTATGTTTGAGCCGGTATGGCAGCTCTGTTTATTTTTTCTTGTTTCGTTTTGTTCACTATTTTTGAGCTGATATGGAACCACTTTTTCACATTTTGTTGTGGCGGACTCTGGCAAGAGAACTTAAAGGCAAACAAATTTGAAAATTTCGCTGAGACGCAAATATATTGATTTATGGAATCACTTCGACGCTGTAAACGAGAAAAACGCCAACTGCAAGTCGGAACTGAGCACGGCTGCAGGTTCCCAGAGCACGACATTTAAAGATAAAACACCGAGCTTCTTTGCAGATGGTTGAACGGCAAGGAAGTGGAAGTACTGAGGCCAGTAATTCTGCAGCAACAACATCGCAGCAAAAAATAGCTGCATTTGCCCAAAAGCCACCAACTGCTCGTAAAAGTTAGCAATTAGACAAACAGCTAGTGCGCATGATTTTCAAAGGCCACCATGCTCTCCGGATCGTGGAGGAGCCCGATTTCAAGAAGCTGATAGAGGATGTTTCGTATTGTCCTGGATATAAGATGCCCACACGTAAAACGCTGTCTAATGTGCTTCTTCCAAACGTACACAGTTAGTTTATTGCAAACGTGAAAGAGAAGATGGGTGCAGTATCTGCAGTTTGTCTCAGTACCGATGGATGGATATCGCTCACCAATTAAAGTTACATGGCTGTAACGGCGCATTTTGTAGATCAGGAGAATATGTTACAATCTTCGTATATGCTTGCTTGTGAAGCATTCGGTGAGAGGCACACAGGCCTCAATCTTTGCTCTTTTCTCCAGAAGGTGGCAGCTGAATGGAAAATTGAAAATAAAATTACTGCTATTGCATCAGATAGTGCTGCCAATATCGTATCGGCTATTATATTAGGAAATTAGCGCTATATTGAATGCTTTGCCCACACTTTAAATAACATTGTACAAAAAGCGCTAGGACCAATTGTCAGTGTGAGGGTCCAAGCCAAAGCAATTGTGGAATTTTTCAATCTAAGCTCATCCGGACTCAAGAAGCTTAAAGATATCCAAAGCCAATTAAAACTGCCTGAGCTCAAGTTGACTCAAGATGTGCCTACACGTTGGAACTCAATATACAAAATGTTTCAGCGCCTGTCTGTTTTAAAAGATGGAGTTATGGTGGTAGTTTCACTTATACGCCCTGAACTTGCACTAACCCAGGCAGAATGGGAAATGATTGAGGGTGTATTGCCAATGCTAAAGCCATTTATTTGAAATTACAACTGAAGTCTCTGCCGAGAATAATGTCACCTTACCAAAGGTTATTATAATGGCCACCTTGCTGCAGCAATAAATTGCCAATAGTATTCCAAATAATGAGGTTCTCAAGGAAGTCGTAGAAAAACTGAGAGAGGCAATGACCGTACGGTTTGGCGATTTGGAGAATAACATTTTGTATGCGAAAAGCACCATACTACACCCAAGATAAAAAAACAGGGTTTTAAATCCGAAGAATTCTTTCAAAAAGTAGTTGCAGCTCTAAAATGTAAAATCGCTCAAACAAGATTTGTTGAAAATATTGCTGATGATCTGACATGCAAAATCGAAACAGACAAAACTTCGCCAACAAAAAGATGCGTTTGGGACGATTATGACAAGCAATTCAACCAAGGTAAAAGGTAAAGCAACAACGCGGATGATTCCATGATAGAAGTAGATAAATACCTAGCAGAGGAGTACCTGAATAGAAAGCAGGACCCTTTGATCTGGTGGGCACAGGAAAAAGATTTATATCCACGATTACACAAACATGCATTAAAACGTCTTTGCTTGGTTGCCACGTCGGTGACATGTGAGCGCCTATTTTCTGCCGCTGGAGAAATAGTCCGCAAAAGGCGAACGCTTTTAATGGCGAATAAGGTGGAAAGTCTTATGTTTTCACATAATAATATGTAAAATATTATATAAACGTGTGTATTTTATAATTTTTGAAATTATAATGGACAACAAAAGTCAAATTGATTACTGTTTTTCATTACTGTCATCAATAACGTCATCAAAATACAAAATTTAATCTGTTAAAAAGATATCAAGTACCAAGTACAAATTAAAATACATTTTCGAACTTAACCGTCCACAAATTGTAGTACATTATTTACGCATACGGTTACAAATAGAAATCAGAGCTCAAAAGAGAACGAACAAAAAATAACTATGAAAAAAAAAACGAACGACCGAAAAAGAACGAACTAACAGAACGACTTAGTTAACTGAATAAAAGTTAACAATTATTTTTAGTGCCAGGTTGACTCAAATTTTGTCATAACTCTCAATTAGGTCTTGAACGATATTAAAAAATTTGTTGTAACTAGTCGGAATGGGTTCCAGGCTGCTTTTTCATTTGTAGATAAAATAGTTTCAAATCCAGCATCTCTTAATAGTTTTTGAATTTGGGGGCCATCAAATACGTCGTTTTTAACTTTTGCCAGCGACTGACGTAGAAAACAGTTTTTAGGTAGCTCATCGATTTACCTTACTTATCCAGTGCTTTAACAAATTTTTCATTAGTCCCAGCTTAGTGTGTAATGGTGGAAAAATAACGTCTCCAAACTTCACGAGAGCTGCATTTTGTATGTTGTAATTTTCCAATGTATTTTTCTCCCGTCTTGGCCAGAGTTTTCTTCAGTAATGCTCTGTTATAGCTCTACTATCCCATAGGCACACTAAAGGAGGAGCAGGAAGCGTAAAGCCTTGACCAGGTTGTTTCGGGTAGCCCCATTTATCCATCGATTCTTTCAAACGATACCTTGAACGACGCCAAGAAATATTTTTTTTGTCGGCTTTTCCTGAGTTCTTAAAGTAAAAATGTGTTGGAAAAATACCGCTAAAAAATTATCAAATTTAAATTTGAAAGCTTAATATCTTCCAGACGTTATGCTGCAGCTACAAAGTGTCTGGGTTGGATTTATAGCGTTTATAAAGTTATGTGTTATGTGAAAATAGAAACACTACCTCTGAAAAACATGAAAAAAATACCAAATTGCAATTCTAAACGAGAAGGAACGTTTGAGTCGCTTCTGGGGACGCGACTCTACTTATACCCGTACTCAGTCAGTATATACATTTTTGAGCTTATGATTTTTTAGAATTATTGATTTAAGCCTAGTACTCAGATCGAAAAACTGTTTGCTAGCAAACAGATGTCATATATTTTTCGAGCGACCAGTGGTGTGACCAGAGGTGTGCACTGCATTCCGAACGGTTACACTGCTCAGACCGCTGCTTGGTTTTGTTTAAAGTTAACAAAATGCACTTCTTCGGCTGAGGCCGCTCTTCCCAAGGCATATCCTGGGCTCCCCAAAATTTTATTGGCAAGGTTATGTGTCTGACTATCAGCAGCAGCAGATGGCGACGCCACCCGTGCCGACCACCGTGAACACAAACTGTTTTGAAAGCAATATTTTTTTTATATTTATGAAAATTAATATAAATATTATATTATAATATCCATATAATTGTCCTTTATATAATGCTGCATGAATTAGATTCTATTTGTCTTCATTATTAAAATATTTCATTTGGTTTTTTGTTCTCTTATTGCAATGTTTGCTTCGTGTTTGCTGGCAAAAGATATCAAATTGATATCTTTTTCGAAGTGGGTCGAAACATACCAAAAAAACAAGCAAATACTTCTGATACTTTTCCAGTATATACCGACCGTTTTGTTTTTATACCCGTACTCAAAAAAGAGTTAAGGGGTATATTAGATTTGTGGTAAAAGTGGATGTGTGTAACGCAGAGAAGGAAACGTTTCCGACCCCATAAAGTATATATATTCTTGATCAGCATCAATAGCCGAGTCGATATAGCCATGTCTGTCTGTCCGTCTGTCCGTCTGTCTGTCTGTCTGTCTGTCTGTCTGTCTGTCTCGATGAGCGCCTAGATCTAAGAGCTAGGGCGACCAAATTTGGTTTCCAGACTCATGTGATATCCCACTGTTACAAGTGTATTTCAAAATTTCGCCCCGCCCCCTTCCGCCCCCACAAAGAACGAAAATCTGTGGCAGGCACATTTTTAAAGATACGATAAAACTAAAAACGCAGTATCGTAGAGAATGCCCATATCTACCAGACTGCCGAATCTGAATCAGATCGGATAATAATTATAGCCAGAATAACGAAATTAATTTTCAGTTGCTTCCCCTCCCCCTCCCGCCCACGACAACGCATCTCATTTTCCTTCTCGCTCGCACATTCTGCCGCGTTCAGTGCGCGAGCAACCCCTAGCGGAGAAGATGTAGAATCTGAATGGTACATCTATAATCTACATGTTAGATTTAAAATATACATTGTAGATGTAGATGTAGATAACAGATGTAGCAAAAAAATGTAAAATGTAAAATTTTTTTTTTAATTCTAAAATTCTAAAAAATCATATGCTCAAAAATGTAAATACTGACTGAGTACGGGTATAAGTAGAGTCGCGTCTTTAGAAGCGACTCACACGTTCCTTCTCGTTTGATCTGAGTACTGCCTTCAGTACAGAGCCTAGAAAACAGTTTTTGCCGTAAAACATTTCTTATCGGTTTCATACGAATATCAACCCTGATTCTGTTCGCTAGGTGTTTTTTTCGATCTGAGTACTAGGCTTAAAAAAAAAAATTTTACATTTTACTATTTTTTGCTACATCTGGTATCTACATATACATCTGCAATGTACATTATACATCTAACATGTAAATTATAAATGTACCATTCATATTCTACATCTCCTCCGCTAGGGGTTGCTCGCGCACTGAACGCGGCAGAGTGTGCGAGCGAGAAAGAGAATGAGTAGCGGGTCTCTGGCAGGAGGGGGCGGAAGAGCCAACAGAAAATTAATTTCTTCATTCTGGCTATAATTATGATCCGATCTAATTTAGATTCGGCAACCTGGTAGATATAAGTATTCTCTACGATACTTCGTTAGTTTTAGTTTTTAGTTTTATCGTATCTTTAAAAATGTGCCTGCCACAGATTTTCGTTCTTTGTGGGGGCGGGGGGGCGGGGCGAAATTTTGAAATACATTTGTAACAGTGTGATATCACATGAGTCTGGAAACAAAATTTGGTTTCCTCTAGCTCTTATAGTCTCTGAGATCCAGGCGTCAAACAATATGGACGGACGGACAGACGGACAGACAGACATGGCTTTATCGACTCAGCTATTGATGCTGATCAAGAATATATATACTTTATGGGGTCAGAAACGTTTCCTTCTCTGCGTTACACACATCCACTTTTAAGGCCTGTCTCCAGCACCGCTGAAAATTGCGGCAAGGAATTTTCTAGTTATTCCGTGAGGGTGTGGAACATAGCTAAAACCGGGTTATTGAATCAGCTGTGTTTTGTAAACAGAGGCAACTGTAAAATTCTGCTAAAATTAAAAAAGGAAAGAAATGCACTCTGATGATGAAGTGATTGTGTTGGTGGCGGCATATATTGTTGCAAAACAAAAAAGAATACAAGAAAACAACGCAGACCGCGATCTCTCTCAATTTTGTTCTACGTTTCATTCTTACACTCCGTTTATGCTCTCTCTGGCCTATTTAATTACTTTTAGAATATTTTATCTCTTTCCATTTTTTATTCCATCTTATTCCCCGATACATGTCTCTCTAACTTCTTACACCAATACCCAGCCATTATAGTGTGTGAGAAAGTAAAAAAATCGATTCTTTGATTCTGGCTATAATATCTCTTAGATATAGACATTCTCTACGACTCTGCCACAGATTTTCGTGTTTGTTGGAAGGTAGGGGGGGCACAGTGGCTCGTTTTCGAAAACGCTTTGCAAAAGTCAGATATCGCGTTGTTGAATTTGGCAAAACTTTTGTTACACTTCAATTAGGATTGATCAAGCTATACAAAACCAAAATTTAATAATTTAAAAAAAATTTTTAAGATTTATTATCGTTGTTCAAAGACCATTTTTCTGTTTTTAAAAAAATGAAGAAAACCGTGCTTAAAAGGCAAAGGTTAATGCATTTTTCTCAAAAAGTACTCAAGCTAGGCGAACATTTTTTTTCCCTAATTTAAGGAACACATTTCAATTTAGAAAAAAAAAGAAATATTTTTTTGCGATTATATTTTATTAGATTTTTTAACAAACTTCATTTTTTGCACAATTTTCAATTTTTAGCGGAATATAAAAAAGGCCATATTTGGCCAAGCATTAGACTGCACAAAAAAATAGTGGTGATATTCAGCAAACAAACAAAAGAAAAAACCATTACCACAATTGCACCTTTTAGGAGATATTAGTTTTTTTCCATTCTAACACATGCTAACTAACCGGCCCTAAGTAGTCGGCCATTAGAGAACGCAGCAGAGATGTTGCTCAATATATTCTTTGTTTCAAATTCTTACTAGCTAATAATTAACAAACACATTCATATTGTATAAATGTGTAAATTTTAGATTAGCCAAGCCACGCCCCCTTGATAAATAAATATATGCATATGCATTTAATTAAATATTTTCATATTTAACGAAGCAATTTTCCCTATTTTCAAATGGGGCAACCATTTCAGAGGAATATATTAATTTTAAGTCCGGAACGGCTCTCATCCGGGAAGCTAACAAGTTGACAAATCTTCGTTTTGACAGCTTTTCTTTCACAGTTTTTAAAAACGCTTCGACTACATCTCTATATCATGATTCAAAACCATAGAAAAATCGATTGTTCAATGTTGTTAATTGACGTTTTTTAACAGAAAGTGAAAAATAATTTAAAACAAAATTTTATTTTTTATTTAACTAGTAGAAATTTATAAAAAATTAAGATTTTTTGTACAAAAATATATTTGCATGTTGTTCAATTTTATTTATATTTTTTATGATAGTTTTTTTTTGTTAAAAAAACCAAATTTCGAGTTTAACCGTTAATTACGCCCCTTCCAGTCACATGCCTACTTTAATTTTTCTTTTAAAAATTTATTTTAAGTATTGCAAATATATGTATTAAATTTCAGACTTACATATACCTAGCCGGGTTCAAAAGTTACTGATTTTGCAACGAGTTTTGAGAAAAAGAGCCACTGTGGGGCGTAGCAAAATTTTGAAACAAATTTGATTCAGTATGATATCACAAGAGTTTGCACAAAAAAAATGATCCTATAGTATTTTAAAACTAGTGGAAAAACAAGACACACGGACAGACATAGAAAATAGCTATAAGCTATATAGACTCGGATATTCTATTGATTCTGATCACTTTACGGGGTCGGAAACGCTTCCTTGTGGGTGTTACACACATATATATATATATCGCTATACTCTTTGAGTATCGGTTATAAGAAATTCCAAAAGTCTTGGCTTAGTCGTATAAGTTACATATGCGATCAATTGAAACATTTTTTTTTTTAAATAGATAAATAAGATACATGCATAAATTAAAGTACATACATATGTATGTATGTATGTACAAAAATTTGAGATAATTGGTGTAATTCGTAAAAAACAGAGGAGTAAAACTTGTATCTATAGATTGTATGGGATGGGACCGATATGATCGTTCATAAATTTAGTATATGGATAAGAT